AAATTGTATCGAATGCAACGCTATTTATAATTGTTTGTTAATTTTTATACATTGTATTACTTCGTTGTTGTTTTTTTTAACTTTATAAGATTAACTGGACAACTGATTTTGTTTAACACCATTTTTTGTAACATTGTATGCGATTCTGTTTGTTTATATTATATTGGTATCAATTCTTCATTAACATTAACATATAAAACTTGTTCAATGTTTTGCATTACAAATTTCATTATTGTGAACAGACACGATTTATCAATAAATATTTATGTTATTTATCTTGGTTTATTCATCATTTCTTGACTATATTCTACTTTTTCTTTTACATATTAAAACATTGTTATGATAATATTACAGTTCCGTACGATTATTGTTAAAGTAACATAGTTGTGTATAATACTTTGTATGTTTTAATACAATTGCAGGTTACTAGATGTACATTGAAATAAAGCGTTAAATAAGAAGGCAAAAAATCTCTGTATGTAATTACATAGCTAATGATGTATGCTTAATCATGATATCAATGACAAAAAATAACCAAACACTCATCAGGATGTGTTTTTCTAATGTTTATCATTAATCGCATCTTTGCTGAGGTCAGAGAGTGATGCCGGTTCATCAGATCAATGTTAATCCACCTGACTGGCAACCACCTCTGTCACTTGGTCCTTCCAATAATAATAGTCCTGCTACTGGTCAAAGTTTACCAGAATGGACTTCAAGGGTAAACTAGTACCATATATTTTCTTTATTTATCATACAAGTTTATTCATATATATTTAATGGAATATTTATTTAACAGGAATCAACATATGCAGCTGTAGTTACGATCATACCAGATCATTGTCACTCATCTGTGAGCACATTATCCTCCAGCAATCATGATATTTGTAGGTAAGTAATATTTCATTTAAGAAATTTCCTTTTAATAATTAAAATATCTCTATATACAATTCTCTATATATCTCTATTAAGCTTTCAGCAACATTAAAAAATGGTTGAAGCCCATAATTTCTAAAAATTATGTTTCTCTATTATATAAACTATATTTGATACTATAAAGATAAATTACTTATGACAATGAGTACATATGTTTCTTGTATCGCAGAATATGTCATTGCGAAGGTGAAGAAGGTGCTCCTCTTTTAGCACCTTGCTACTGCAGTGGTAGTTTACGCTATGTACATCAAACTTGCCTTCAGGAATGGATAAAAGCTTCTGACACGCGTGCTTGTGAATTATGCAAATTCACATTTATTATGCATTCTAAAACGAAACCATTTTGTGAGGTATATTTTTCCATATATGTTTTCTCTGTTATGCTTTGATTAAAACAATAAATAATGTTTATCCTAAAGTAACAGAATGTAATATTAATTGATCATTTTTAGTGGGAAAAACTTGAAATGTCAGCGCGAGAAGTTCGTAAATTATGGTTTGCGGTTATTTTCCATACATTAGTTACACTTGGTGTGGGTTTATCTGTATATGTACTTGTTGAACGATCCGTGCAAGATGCCTTAGATGGATACGTAGACTGGTCATTCTGGACTAAATTAATAGTTCTTGTAATTGGTTCTACAGGAGGTTTAGTTTTTATATTTATTCAATGCAAAACATACATTATACTATATAGAAAATGGCGAGCATTTAACAGGTAAATCATCTATAGTGGCACAATCTTAATGAGATAATATACTATGTCATAATTATAGTCTCTGTATTTTGTAACTTATATTAATGGATAATATGTTTTAGAGTAATATTCATTCAGAATGCTCCTGAAAAAGTGGTGCTTCCTCCTTCACCTACAGACTCTTTCAGAGAAGTAACATTACCTCTAAAGGAGCTCGATCATACCATATTACCCCGTAACATAGATCCTCCATGTGCCTCGCAGATGGTAAAATCAGATTCTGATGCTCCTCCACAGAGGCATGAAACTCATATGAAACTTTACGTATTCGATAAACTGTCCTCACTGGAAGACAATATGTAATATGATTGGGATAATATGGATGAATGCTAATTGTGTATCGATAATTAGCGAAATTGTAATACCAGCATCAGCATGTTTGTCTAGAATATGCCCTAATTCTGGACGAAAATACGATTTTGGAAAATTGAAGTTTCTATTTCGAAACTTTCAAATGTCCGCCCTTACGGAGCACCTTTATTTGAAACTTAGTACTTCAGTGCTTACATTGACAATGGGATAGCTGAAAGTGTTCAGTCATTGAACTAACACTTCATCAGATATTTGTGTACATAATTATTGTATCTGTGATGTTATTAAATAAACTTTACCATATTTAAACAGTACATCCAATAATATTAGCGTAATTATTTAAAATTATATTTTTCAATTTCTTTGTATTTTCTTTCAAAATATTATTTTCTACACGAATTTCAAACACATTTTTATTTTTTTAATAAATGTCTTCATGAAGAAAAAATGACATAGTTTCATATTATGAACCTAACATGTTTACATTACTTTATTTGAAAGCACGTGTCACGTTCTGTCATATGGACTTGTTTATTAAATCTACCTACTATCTTGCATTAAAGCATTATAACTCTAAAGAAAGTTTTTATCTCTTCAATATGGATGTTTACAGTTAAAGAAGGATAAAGGAAAAATTTTAAATGTATATTCAAATTAAATTATATTATGATACATTACTTGCACGCATAAGTAACCAATAAATAATTAACTCCAAAAATTTATTTCATGAATAATTTATTATGAATATACAAATTTTCGTACTTTATATATTAAAGTACAATTCAGACCAATTTAATATGGTTAAAAAGTCTAGAGAGATATGGAAAAATGTTTACAAAAATATTGTTCACTTTATGACACATTATAAGCAGTTGTTAATACCGTTTAGTACAACATAGAAACACCTTTTCAGTTTAAAATATTTTTATCTACGTATGCATAATGTATATGCAGCATTTCATTTAAATACTACATATGTATAATAACTGTGGTATATTATATGTTTGTATATACAATGAATATTACTATTATTAATTCAATGCAGAATTGTATTACATAATATATCAATAATAACAATATTGTCCAAGTAATATCAATGAGTAGTTTTAAGTATCTGCTTCCTTTTTTAATAAATAAAACGAAAAATATGTATTTGCTCAAATGTACGATAGAAGTTTTAAAAATAGTATAAAATGTTTAGTTGTGGTAAAATTTCGACATAATAATTTTTGTAATTGTAGAACCAATATAAGAAATACAAAGAATATTGTTTTTCATTTATCACAAACACAAGATATTTAATGTACTTCAGTACATTAATGCTACAATTTACTCTGTAAAAATGGATTTAAATAGACCTTGTATATATTTCTCATTATCAAACGATTATTTAACAAAAATATGATCATCATATTCTAAATACAAAATATGTTTGTTTGTATTTTAGGTTTTTTGTTCAAAGCGTATACTCAGTTTATAACATTAATATTAAACATCCAGGAACATTGGTTCTACTTGTTCATAAAGATTTCTGATCAAACAGATTAGGACAACCAATCTCATGTATTATAAAATTACACAATCTGTAGGTATATACACATGCAATTTAAAATTTATATTTATGTAGTCTAATACGCATCTAAAAAAATATAAATTATTTTTGTTCTATATATATATATGTATATATATAATGCAATGAAAATTATTAAAAAATATAAGATTTTGAACAGAAAAATTGTTTAATTTTAAAAAGGTCAAACACATTAAGATCAAAAGAAATAATAATAATTGCAATGTAAATAAATTGTATAATAGTGTGTATAATTCTGTTTGCAAAGTTTTAAACATACAAAACTGCAAATTTGGAAACAATTTTATATTTACAAATATTTCTTCAACCATAAATTATTACATTTTCTGTAATTAATAAAAATTTTGGAACTTTCTATAATTTCCTTTCGCCTAGGTATAAAAATTGATTAAAAAGTATTTTTGAAGATGTAAATAGACATTATATGGTAGTATTTTACAAGTCGATTATTGCTTCTAATTTGTAGTTCTTTTGTTATTTCCTTCTTTTGAATATCCTATTTTAAAACCCTTAAAACATTTGGCAATAAAGTTTAAATGATGTGAAATTTAAACAACACAAGTCTATTAAATATGATACAATTTGATCTTCGAAATTATATTAAATGGAAGCAGATTTAAGACTTACTAACAGTCTTATGTCTTCTTATATTTTATATACAAAAATGATAGAACTTGAAGAAACTTTAATTTCATAATCACAGCGTTTACTAATATTTTCAACAGTTTAATACCCCATGAAATTTTTCTTCTTTTTATAACTACATTCCATATTTGCATACTGTGTATTTGCAAGTAGATAAATTGTTCATGCACATATTATACTTAACATATGAAAATGTCCTTTTACATATTTCATTTGATTTCTATGCGCAACAACAATGCAGTGATGTAATTTTAATGCAGTGTATACTTAATTCCGTTGCATTCTGTCTTTTTAAATAGAAAACATATTTACATTTGATCGTGTTAAATATTTTGTAAATAATAAATAACATGTATTTTGATTATTATAAACGATTAGACGGAAGAATGCAGAGTTAATATTTTGAAGATTCATATCTGCTATATCAGTCTGTTTTATCTGACATAAATTTTACATTAGAAAAAATGCAGAATTAAGTATTATTTATGTGATGTAGTAGTAATAATAAAAATAATAATAATAATAATAAAAATAATGCAATAGTGACATACTTATTAGAGTTCTAAAATTAATGATCTTACATGTAAAGAAAAAATCACAACCGGCAAGTAGCCAATTACATACTAGTAACAAAAATATGATTAATATTGTAATAAATTATGCCATGTTTGGCTTCAGGAATTTTACGAACGGCATACGATGTAGCTATCAGAATCTAAAGATCCCTAAACTTCTAGAGAAAACATATTCATCATAAAATATCATAGCTTTATCATTATACAGAACAAAATATACTTGAGTAAATTTTGAAATTTGCATTTGTTACAATTTTTTCTAATAATTAAAATGTGATTAATTTGAGATATTTGATAATGCAATAAATAAAGTAAGCGTTCTTGCACAAATACCTTTTCCTTGGATAACAAAATTGAATATCAATTCATAAAATTTTAATATTAATAAGGATTAGAAAATTCCGATAACAGAGTAGCCGTACTTGATCACAGAGGATATTCTAGAGAGTCTAATAATTATAATATTTATGCACCGCTTGAAGGCCTTTCCCAACAACATAACCATCTGCGCCATAATGGTAAAGGTTTTCTACGCCTATATAATAAACTAGCACCACCTCGTCGTGTATTAAGAGCACTAACTATTGCTTGATCGAATGCTTCTTTAAGATCATGTTGAGTCAACGCAGATGTTTCTACATAACTTACGGCACCCACTCTTTGAGCTAATTGATGTCCTTCAGAAGTTGTAATCGATGTTTGACTATATCTTGCTAATTGTAACATAACATGTACATCTGACCTTAAGTCACTCTTTGTCCCTACCTGAAATCATTATCATTGTTTAAACTTATGTCTTAACAGTTTCAATTAATTTTCTTTCTATATAAATTCAACCGTTTTATAGTTTTACTATGTAATGTGGTTATATAGTAAACGATTACAATAATTATTAATATTACATTATTACCAAAATAATAGGTGCATTTGGGCAATATTTTCTTATTTCATAAATCCACCTTGAAGCTACGCTATGATAAGAAGATGGGCATACTACGCTGAAGCAGACTAGGAACACATCAGTTTCTGGATAGCACAATGATCGCAAAGGATCAAAGTCATCTTGACCTGCTGTGTCGCATAGTTGAACATTTAATGGTTGACCATCAACATTAACTACCACTGAAAATAATTTAAATAATGAAGTTAAATGTATTTAAACGACATATTTAAATAACAGAGTTAATAAACTTATAGAAATTTACTATACTTCATCACTTCTATCTATAATATACTTTATTACTGAATTATTTAGATTGTGAAATGATCACATTCTTGGAGTCTTCTTTTGCAACAAGTAAGATAAGATTATACGAGAAACAAGGGAAACCTTAAAGACTTCTTTTAAAATATTAATTTGTCTACAACACGAAATTTTAATACATTTAGATAATAAAATATTTACAGTGATAATCACATATCACTATATTTACAACTCATAATTAAATTACATATCGCAGAATTACTTTTTATTAACTGCTACGATTAAAAAGAAAAAGAATAACAGATATTCGTAAAAAATATGTACAAACACAACTAATACATCGGTAATTAAAAAAACTGTTCATCATCGAAAAAGTTTTTATCGTTAAAAATAATTAAATTAAATTTCATTTACAAATCATCACTGTACAAAACACGCACTGTTTTATTATTATTCCAAACGAGACTGGATATCGTCGTAGAAAGAATTCATTATTATAATTAAGTGATCAACTAACCATTGTAATTATCGAAAGCAGTGGGCACATATTCCCCAGGGAATCCGTTCGTCGAATAAGAAACAACGAGACTGGTTTTTCCAACGGCACCATCACCTACTAGAACAACTTTAATTCTCCTATCGAGTGGAGTGGCACTGTGGTCCGTGCCACTGCCGTTTGAATTTTGATTCTGTGCAGTACACGTCGTCGTCCGTTTCGCCTGCATCTGCATTGTTTGTCTACTTTTCAGTAAAGGCTTAGTCCAATTCGTATGGGATGACGGCGGCATTATTTCGTCCTTTATTTTACCACAGCCACGAGCTTTCATGCGTGTATATACTGCACACTGAATAATAACGCAAGCTATATAACCTCTACCTGTCCGACAAGAGAGCGATGCAATCAATTGCATCTATCGTTATATGTTTCCTCTCGAAATCATCGTATTTCCTCCGTCCCTCCTACTGACACTTGTAGCTCGCACGATCACGGATAGAGTTTCGGACACGATGCTTTCGATACGCCCTGTCAGGTACTGTGTGCATCGCTCGAAAACAATGGGGGAACGTACACCGTACAGGAAAGATGAAAAAAGAGAAAAAAAAGGAATTGATCCACCTGCCGCGACGCGGAGCCACCTGTTATTACGCTTTTCTTGCGGCGGTCACAACCGGTGGCACAGGTACCACGCGCTCCTATTAAATTGGCCTTACCCTTGATTTCTTTGTTTCTGTCTTAAGAAAACACCATGACACTTAATAAGTTGCAATATTTATATCTGCTTCATTGAAATCTAATCGATGCTATGTATTTATCATTTTTTTCTTCCCCGTGATGTAAGTAATCATGTTATCTGTTGGAATAGGTACTTGGATGCATCAAAAGATAATTTTTAGTAGACATCAGTGATAATAGATCGTATAATGCTTATTTACGATGCTGACAGTATTTCAAACATAAATATTTAGACACTTGAAAATGAAAAAATATGTAATATATTTTATTCCGAACATTTAAAAACTTTGGGAACTTTTCTAAAATATTTTATCAAAAAATATTGATACATAAAGTATCTAAATATATGAATTATTTATTGTTTATATAATATTGCAGAATATATTAAAAGTTTACTCGATATAGGTTTCTGAAGATAAGGAAAGAAATAATATTTTGAAGAAATACATCATTTGCAACTTATTGCATGTAACAAATAAATCAAGGAAAATAGTAAATAACAAATTTCTACTTTATTAGTACCCAGTAATTATAAAACCACCATGTGCATGAATGGAGACTCAGGACAATTTTTTTATTGTATAATTTTTCTTAAAATGACCATGATTTAAAGAATCCTTAAGATTTAATGCGACCATTAATTTTTGAACTCAGACTTGTACTAAGAATAGAACATCTTTTTTTATATCTTCTTCCTACTTACATAAATAAATAAGTATTCGATACGATTTGATAAAAACAAATGCATACGATGCTTACATTTAAATGATATAGAGTTTATGGAATATGACATGAGAATGGAATACAATTATGCTATGATTTCTATTAACAATCAATCAAGATTTTGAATAAGTAATACAATTTATTCGTACATTGTATCGCTAACACAGCAAATAGGATTCAAATAATAATGAGTATTAATGACTCACAGAATTATTGGTGATATGTATATATTAGAAAATAACCTATTAAAATTAAGTGTAATATTTGAAACATCGTTTCCTTATTATGGTTCAAAGAGGTATTGTAGGAAAGGATTTGAATAAAATTGTGGATTTTTAGAGTGACCTAAGAAAAGAATAACGGTATGCCATAATTACATCCAACTGTGAAAATTATCCATTGATGAAAACTAACCTCGAAGTCGTATAGCATTGTTAATTTTTTACACATAACTTTGCACAAGATATGATAAAGATGTTTCGTATTAAAGTTTAATAGCAAAATAATAAATTTTGTTTCAATCTTTTTAAAATATACTTAAAAGACAATTATTGGTTTAAACAGAATATTTCATTATTCTTGTCTAGGATTACTTTAGAAATCTGCAAAATTCAATTCGAATTGGTAGATAAAAATTTACAATGTGTGCAGTTTAATATAACTTTGTGTTTTAGAAGAGAATGGAAGAAAAATTGAGTAAAAAAGGTTACCGCAAACAAAAACGAGCTCATCACAGGCTTCTTAGAGATATGAATATTAAATGCTCTGATAATCCAACAAAGGTTGCTATTTAATTTGAAAAATAAAGTAATTCATGAATACTAGAAAATATATTAAACATGTTTCTTTTATATTTTCTCATAGTATGTGATGATTTGTAATGCGGGTTTGGTAACTGGATTAAAACGAGAAACATTACAAAATATTATAGACTCGATTGTTTCAAAGTATGATATAATAATGCCACTAAATAAATCCTATTGTTTCATTAAATTTGATTCAATGGAAGATGCAGAATGCGTTTATAAAAAAATTCATGGTCACACGAATATTAACAATTTAAATACACCATTATATGCAACATTTGCAGAATCAGGTATATTATGTGTTCATAAATTTAACCAAATATATTTCTTGCATTATTAAAAAATTGAAAATATCATTTAAATGTGTACATCAAAATTTTGTTTCAGTTCCTGATTTAGATGATCTATCTTGTCAAATTCCTTCAGGACTTAGATTAATAGAAAATATTATAACTGAAGAAGAAGAGACACGTTTATTGAGTTCAATTAATTGGAATAATGAAGGTATTATAAATATTTTATAATTATTAATTTATCATATGTACATAATTTTATTTTCTAGAATCACTTTCATCCGATTTAAAACATAGAACGGTTAAACATTTTGGATATGAATTTCAATATAATTCAAACAAAGTAGATCCTAATAAACCAATTACACCTATTCCCAAAGAATATCAATTTTTACAAACATTATTTAAACAATATCACAATGTACCGTATGAATATGATCAACTGACAATAAATCATTATTTGCCTGGACAAGGTATATTACATGAAACTCACTTTTTAATGTAGCTTTATTTACAATATTTATTTGTAATGGAATTACTATTGTAATGTTTTATAATTTAAGGAATTCCCCCACATATTGATACACATAGTGTCTTCGAAGATTCTATATTATCTTTGTCATTGGGTTCATCATGTATCATGAATTTTAAACGGGAAGATAAAAAAGCTGATATTCTTTTACCTCCTCGTTCATTGTTGATTATGTCAGGGGAAACTCGTTATGCTTGGTCTCATGGAATTTGTCCTAGACATAATGATCAAATAAAAACAGCAAATGGAATAACAACACAACCACGAAGCACAAGAGTATCATTTACATTCCGAAAAGTCAGAAGAGGTCATTGTTCTTGTACTTTTCCAGAATACTGTGATAGTAAAGAAAATCTTTTCGCTACATCCATTGGTGACAAAGCAGCAGTAGGAATAGAAAACTCTTATGTACACGAAGTATGTGTCAGAAATGTAATTTTTTTATTTAAACAAAAATTGTATCAAATTTATTTATAGGTTTATGAAAACATTTCAAGTCACTTTGATGAAACAAGGCATAAACAGTGGCCAAATGTTTTAAAATTTCTTGAGTCCTTAAATCCAGGTGATATTCTATTAGATGTAGGTTGTGGAAATGGTAAATATCTCCATGAGCAACATATATTTAAGGTATAACTTCTCTATTCTTACTTATTCATTTTATCGTGTATCCTACGATCAAATTTAAAAATCTATGTACAGAACTGTAAAATGTACTTACATTTTCATAATATAAAAACGTTTGTAGTAAAAAAATGAAAAAACTCTTAATACCTTAGGTTGGATGCGATCGAAGCCAAAATTTAATGAAAATATGTCGCAATAAAAGATTTGAAGTCTTCTTATCTGATTGTTTGTATTTACCATACAAAGATAATAGTATAGATGCAGCAATAAGTATAGCAGTAATACATCATCTTTCAACCCATGAAAGAAGGAAACAAGCAATTTCAGAATTGGCACGACTTCTTAGACCTAATGGAAAATGTTTAATTTATGTATGGGCGAAAGAGCAAGAAAAAGATTCTATACGAACTGCATATTTAAGATATGGTACAAATAAAAAGGATGAGAAAACAGAATTTGTACAGAAATTGACAGAGTATGGTGTAACATTACCAGTGCACGAAAATCGTACAACATTTATGTCTACGGATATGCTTGTTCCTTGGAAAAGAAAAGGAGGAGGAAACTTCTTGAGATATTATCATGTATTCGAAGAAGGTGAATTACTACGCTTGTGTTCGGAAGTACCTGCGATTACAATAAAACATGTATATTACGATCAGGGGAATTGGTGTGTAATTTTACAAAAAATAGAATAAAATAATTTATCTGAAAAGAAACATTTTTATGCCAGTCATTATATGCGTTTAAATAGATTTCTAAATATTAAAAGTATAAACTTAATTAGAAAATAAGACAAATACAAGAATTATAATGCATTAAATGATTTTACCTTTATTGGAAAAAGAACAAAATACATGGAATATGTGTACTATACAGGGTTTTAGATATAAATAGTCCCTGATATCTAGTTTTGTCAATATAAACATGAATAATGCGTAAGTAGACAAGACAAGTGCACTGTACAAAGCTCACTCTGCTTGACTTTTACTTGCTATTGTGCTTCAATCGTATAACATATTTAATAGCAATATAGATTATCATCATCAATAATAATATTATTATTATCATCTGCATCATAATTTTCATTATTATTATTACTATTGATATTAATATTAATTACTTGTAGTAGGTATCGCTTGTAAATATATTAGCACACCTTATTCACATAAAAATAGTATCCAATTACGAAATTAATGGAGAACGATAATTGATATCGAACGTTGTTTCCAAGAATTGCAACCAAATTTTATATTGAGTGTAATTATTTTTAGATGTAAATGTCAATAGTGTACATAATATATACAACGATTGACAATACTAAACTATTAGTAAAATTGTTATATATTTTTAATTGGCGAGTGCTTGAATTAGGACAAAATATACTGTCCTTCGCTGTTTCATTTGTGTATTCAAAAACTTACACAGGTCCAACTTCTTCAGGATCATAGTTTTTTACTCTTTTGTTATATGCAATTATTTCCTAAATAATCGAAGT